GGAGCATTTGGCTTAGCCGAAGTCGAGGTGTTTCTTCACTGCGTTTCGAAGATTAACATAAATATATGAGTAATTTTCGGTGCCTTCTTTCTTGCCTTGATTTTAGTTAATCTGTTCAGAAGAATTTCTAGAATTTAATCTTTTTTTGGAATCTGTTCAGAAAATTCATTCCAAAAAAATGCAACTCGTGAAAATCTAAAAAATTTATCGGTTTAATAAGTTGGAGATGCAAGAGAACAGGGAAATATTTGCTTGAAAAAATCATGGCTTTTTGCACGCGACTCCTTCAAATAATTCAGTTTTTTCATGTTACAGCATATATTGCTAATACTTTCGCAACTCCGAGATTTGCATAAAGATTTTGCGACTTGCTGATCTCGACAATAATTTACTGCTGGTTTAATTTTTATAATTTTAGTCATTGAAATGCAATTCAGCTTTCGTGTGACTCGACAACTTAATAACTTTGCCATGAGTTACCTGGTGATCAAAAGTGTTCATAAATTCTATAAATAAAATATGTATGATTTGAAAGAAAAATTAATCTATATTTCTGCATTAAAGGAAATATATTGATGCTTGGTCCTGCTCGTTTTTCGACTCGTTGATTCTAGAATTACTTGAATGATTTTTTAAAGATATATTTCGAAGTTGAAAAGGTCCACGAGGTTCGAATGTTTTCCAAAAATCCCTGAACCAAATTTAATCTGACTCATTTTCATCTTTTATGCAATTTATTAATATGACATTTTGTCAAGCTGGGCTCAATAAACTTCGAGCATCAGATCTTATTCCTGCATACATATTCATGCATTGCCAAAATGAGATTTTACGAAAGAATTTTTCTTCTTTTTTATACTTACGTCGGGGTAAACTGCATTCAGTTTTGCGCCATACGGGATATCATCAGCTGCAACAGCAGCCAGGGCAAAAACTGCCAAAATCTGCGAATTTACCACAAGAACATTTCGAGGTTTTCATCAAAATCAAGAATTCATTTCTGAGCATAATGAAGCATCATCCGAGAGTTAATTTTGCCGATTGATATAAGAACTGAAACACTTACGTGAAATTGTGCAAACATATCGCTGATCGAATCCAAAAGGCTTTCAGTTATATCCACACACAGAAAATACACTCAATTTCACACTCTGAAAGAAAAAAATAAACCGGGGAATAAATCTGAGTCTGGCGCTCCTGCTCACGCACTTGATGTTTTTCTCCACTCTCGTAGTTGAGTTCTTAACGATGAATTCAGATGGGGGAAAAAATCAATTCTTGAAACTGGTAGAAAACTGGACAAATTTTTCCTTTCTCTTTTTTTCCTGTGAGCTTCAGAACCCCGCGGGTTCGGCTGCAACTTCCCGGGTTCGAGTCGGGAGCAGGTTTGTCCTGGCATCCGGTGATCAACTGGGGCTTAAATACCGTTCCGGTTCGGATATCCGGACTCCGCCTTCTTGTTCCCCGCCATTCTGGGATGCTGGAGAAGAAAAAAAGAGTTCCAAAAGCATTCATTCATTTGTTCCCGTTGTCGAAAAAAGGGGGAATTCGGGGGAGGATCGAGACGAAGAAAGAGGGAAGGAATTGTCTGACGTGTTTTTCTTTTTTTGCAGGCTGCATTCCTTTGGGGCGTTGGTTTCACTGATGGCCGATATTGGAGTGACTTCTTGGAATCTCGCATTTTTTAAACATTTGTTTCGTGATCTATAATCAATGCCTTTTTTTTTATAAAAAGTACGTCTTTGTTCTGTAATAAATGACGAATGATGCGAAATACAGTGAACCCCCACATGCGGACACTTTGACCTGCGTACAATTCAACATAGGGACACTTATTTTCCCAGAAAAAATCAGTAAATAAGGCCCAACATGAGGACACTGACTCAACATAGAGACATTTTTTAATAAAGTTTCAAACACATTTCAGGCCAAATTACAAGAAACAGATATTTCCAACCCTAAAAATGATGTAAAAAAAGTTCTTGGGCATTTTTTCACCAAATTACCATCCATTTAGCTCATTTTAAAAAATTACCTCCAGCATATATAGAGGGACTTCTATTTTTTTCCACTTGAATGTTATTTTTGTAGATGCCAAAATTTCAGAATTCAGTACAGAGATACACTATTCAATGCTCCACATGTTCTTATTGAGTTGAAAATGTATCCACTAATTCAAATTCAAGTGGCAAAACACATTTTTCAGGGAATTTTGAAGAATATTTCTTCCATAAAACACCAATTAAAAATTATATAATGTAAGTCTATGGGAAAACAAGACTTGACTTAGGAACATTTTGACTTGGGGACACTCTTGAAGTCTTGATGCACCAATTACGTCCGCATCTTGGGGTCTCACTGTAAATGCGTCATAGATGGATCATTACAGGAACATGAAACGTTATCCTCAAATTTATCACTCAGAATTTGCATGCAGGATCCTTTTTAAAGTAGAAGATTTGTGAACCGTGTACATTTTTACCTTCATTAAAGCAATGCATTTTGAACTTTCAACACTCAAAACTGTTTTGTTATAACCTCTATTACTCAAATTTTGCATTCCTCTTGTGCTGTTAAAATAGGCTGAATTTTAGAACACCTGAACGAGAGCATATAAATGTAAATTTTTATTCCAACGTTTTTCACTTGGAATTTGACCACTTCTTGCTATAGGCAGAGCACATAATAAAGATGAACTTTTGCAATAATTATTCGAGGTAATAATTTTAATTATGTAATCTTTACCAGCAGGTCATTTTCTGTAACTCTAAAACGTCTGTTGGTCGCATTTTTGGAGTCCCATAAAATTCAACTTAGAAAGGTTCAACTGTATTACTCATATATTTCCAATATTTTTTTAAAAACTGAAATGTGAATATAAAACTGGAAAGAAAGCCGTGGGTTTGTTCTGGATTACTGCTGGTACATCCTTGCTAATACTGTACAAACATGTGATTAAACGCCATAAATTCGAAGGTAAATTTTAAAAAGGAAGAAGTTCCTTTTTATCTGAAACGAGTTTTTCTCAAAAATATTCATAGACTGAGGCGTGTAGTACTTAAGGTGAATTAAAGCAAATGGATCTAGACTTTTATTTATTTACTTTTAATGTTTATTTAATGAATTCTTTTTATTGAAGGTCACTTCATGAGTAGCGCTAAATACAAGTGTATTTAGGATGAGAATATAGGTCGAATTATTAAATGAGGAAGAGGAATTACTTAATGCATTAATTAATCCATTTATTAAAAATATACACTGATTAAAAGGCTAGACACTTACGAAGTGAGTCACATTTTAAAGATTTATTTGTTGACTAGTTTTTTAAACGGTTTGTTTGTCACTGATGACATGTTTTCAACACTTCCTGAGCTTCAAAGAAAATTTCCAGTAAAAACCCAGTTTAAAGTACTGTATCATGAACTTATAGCTGAAGGTACAGTTTCTGCTTTTACAACAACTTTCCAGCGAAATAACTTGGAATAAGCATTTTTTCTCGCGGAAATTCTGCTTTCATCGAACTTTTCTGAACAGGAATGCGAGTTCTTAAATGGTTGGTTTTCCTTTTCCTTTAGAGTTTGACAAGGGGTCATTTTTTGCAAAAATAAAAAATGTAAATTAAAAGGTACGATTTTCAAGTGTCGAGAGAAGACAACATCATTGACTGCTTCTTAAAGCTTATACCACTTTCATCAATCCAAATAATGACAAAATTTTGCTAGACTATAAGACTATATAGAAGGCCTGCATACACTTAGATTTTTTATTGTTTTACAATAATTGATTGATTGCTAAATGCTTAACACTGATATCCAACACACAACAGCAATTTATTGAGACTAAACCATTCAAAATAGTTTGGATGTGTCTACATATTTATAATTTTATTGGTTTGCGTCCAAAACATTTCTTGAATAGCGCTGTCAAATATTTGAAGTAAAAATAATAAAAAATCGTTCAACTCCAATCAAACTTCACTGAAAGATAAAGTTCAAAATTTCCTCGATATATCTTTAAAGCATTGTACAGTAATAGTATATGACATATACGTCCTGTTGTTGTTAGTTATGCTGTACTTCTCTTTCGATTATATAGGGATGTTTTTTCCTATAATCGATACTATAGCCCATGTTTGCTATTAGGGATGTGCTTAATTAAATCGTGGTATCCAAAGCTTGATGCTGCTATGCGAAGCAGAAACCTAGTGGAAATGCGGATTATGTGCCATTTTGAAAAGAAAGGGCGTTCCGTGAAGCAAAATATGACGGTTATATATGCTCAGCCATTTAAAAAAAAAACGGCAAATTTATTGTAACCGTTGACCGAAATATCTCTGCACAATACTGTGCTTAAATCCACAAATTAAAAATACTGTATTTTACAAACGTCTTTCATCGGTTGGTTTGCACAAGTTGGTCCGGTCAGTTCAAAAGTCCCTAATTATTGCACAAATTCCACCGTGAATTGAGCTTTGATAGATTAAAGCGGGGATTTTGTGTCTGAGATTTTTTTCTTCAAGTATTCCATGCAATTTTAATTCATTCCGACAAAATTGCAATCAAATTTCGGTATTTTCTATTTCCGGGGAAATTTCTTGAGCTTCCTGCTGGTGATTTTGATGGGATGCGAGGTGCTTATTTAGTTTACGCAAACAGGTTTTATGATAAGTAGAGTAACAATGAAAATCAGTCAAAGGAAACGCAAATTTTTTGGTAAAGTTTTTTAATAAGTTTAATAATAAGTTTTTTAATAAGTTTTTTAATTGTTTTTAATAAGTAGCATGCAAAAAATGGCTTGAAATTTGTGGAGGTATGACTAGAAAGAAATATGGAGAATTGCATCAAACTGACGCAAGACCATTTTCTGTATGCCACTTGTTTATCGCGTGAAGGGGAACAAGTTCAGGAATATTATTGTCAAGTAAGCTAAAATATTTTTCTCGTCAAAATATGAGCGAAATGCTTTTGAAGTCAGTATTACCATTCGGTAGACCTCTAGTGATCGTCGTGAGAAGAATTTCATGCATGCTTTAGTCCCAAAATTATGGTAATGCGATACTTCATGAATTGAATTCGCCACCCTTCAGAAATGTCACACCAGAGTCCCTGATTTTTCTCTAGCTTATTGACCTATACGATTTTAAATAAATGAGGATATTGTGTAAATGAATGAAAAATTCATTGTTCATAAAAAATATTGAAATTAATAATGTCTTCATTGTATGCAATGTGAATTTATCAGAGAGCGCTGTACTCCTGGGAATGGATTTTGGCGCAGTATCAAATTTCTAGAAGTTTTATTTTTATTTTTATGTATAATAATTAAAACAAGATAGAGATTCCGTTATTGCAAACACATTGCATTAGTTCACATAGTACCCTTCTGTTCTCAAAAAGAGAGAAGAACCTTTGTGCTGCATCTTGTCAATCAAAGCTGCCGATTCATTCCGTTATTTTTCAAAAATTGGCAGATTTGTGTTTCCTTTTACGGAGCACGCTTTCCCCGGAATTACAAGAAGTCCTCTCACCAGACGACGAGGTGTTACATGATAACATGAGTAAGCTGGGACAAACTGAAACCAAGGTCAAGGTCTGGGAAACGGAAATTCAAAGCGAAAGAGAATTTCAGAGATGAATAAGTGCGCCCACCCAGAAGCCTATACCACGCAAAACGATGGTTGCAGAGTGCTTCAAGATTGATGAACCCTGCCACGGGCGCGCGGGGTGAGTCGATGAAAACTGCTCCAGAATTATCAACCCCACCCTCTACAGCGACATCATTGAGCTTTATATACAACCTCTTTGTGCTCTCCGAAAGTCCCTGCGTTTCTTTTGAAGTGTGCAGTGATTGTGTCCGTGTCTGTGATGATCGAGAATGATGAACTTCGTCCTAAACGCGTCTATATGAATATGGGTCAACGGAGGATCGTCAACGGGTGTTTTATAATCGTGTTGCATCCGTCTTGCCAACTTCGAATCCTTATGCACATTTGCGAATCGGAAGTCGTCAGTGTAAAGCATGAATGCTTTAAGGAAAGCCCTCGAAAACAAGGATAACACATGACGTGCGTTATGCCCTCGTCATCGCCTTAAAACTGACGTCACAAGTGACCCAATTGGACTCTATTCGACCTCGGGGCGTGTAAGCATTGATGGAATACAGACCGATCGCTCATGGTTCCGCGTTCTTTCGACCCCTGATTACTTCTGCGGGAGATTATGTTGAGGAATGCATTGAAACAAAGTCCGTTACTGTGTGATATATTAATATATACGTGGAAATGTAATTACTTCAATGTATTGAACAGCTGAATTTAGCAATCCTACAAGATACCCGCCTCTGCCCCATTCATACGCCGACGATGAATTTTTTGAACGAAATCTTCGCTCGTTCAATCTTATTTCTTCTTCCGAGCATTGATGCAGTTGCGTTACCTTGAACTAGGTTTGGGCTGACTATCGTATCGACGAAGTGGATTCGGAATGTAATTGTTGGAGTGAATTTGGAATGCGAGTGAACTTCTCGAGTGTGAAAGCAGTTAATCTTCGGTTTCGCTTCCAGCAGCTACGCACTTCCTCTCATGAAAGCATGATGGAAGCAAAACCAGGTGTTGGAAGCTTGTCCGACAACTCAATTACTACGAGTCGATGCTTTCAATTCTAGGGTGAAAAGCAATTTCCTCGGTGTTTCCTAGCCGAAGTTTTTCAATCGAGTTCGAGTTGAAGGACAATCATTTCTGTGTTTTGTGCGGAGACTCGAAAAGTGAATCATCTGTCTGGCCATGTTCTTGTGAGAAGGTTGTCCCGGAGATCTGTCGGCTGACACTTGAAAGGATGACATCCAGACATTAACATGATAATGAAGCGCCCGATCAATTCGGCTTTTCAATGCGCTCATAACAAGGACAGTCACGACACGGTGTCGGGTTATTCTGACTCCACCCAAATCGTCTTCTGCTCCAAGGAACCCTTGATTACTTCGTGAGTCAGCAGATTTTTCCTCCTTTATGTATATTTGCAGAGAATTCCGTTGGAGGATTTTCCCTGATGTGAACAGCTTCATTTTTCGGTACAACGCGTTATTTTTCTTCGAGAAGTGCGTCGGACTTCACCGCAAATGCGTTTTGGCGGTCGTGATGATGGCTCTATCCGAAATACGACGCGTTCTTCTGGTCACTTAAGATAATTTTTGTTGACAACCTTGTTTAGTCTCTTCTGCGGTCATTACACATTTCAGGGTTGCTCATCATCACAAAATGTTCATCACGAATAGCCTTTTATAACCTTGTCAACCGTCATAGTTTAAACTTGAACTTTTTTTTTTGATAATGTGAAAAGATTTTGTTTGCTGAAGGTGTTGTTCTCTCTGCTGTTGTTCTTACTGTTGTTGCTCTTGAAAATGCAAACAAAACTGAAATACTGTACTGTGTCATCGATCTCACTGTACTCTCGAAACCAAGATTGCTTGCAAATTTATGAATTATTTTTGGGCTCAAAACACCGTGAATCCCCCATTATCTAACAGAGAACTGTATATGACTTTCTTTTCATACGCATCCACTTGCTGTTATGACCATGGAAGATGTTCTCGAAAGCATTGATTAATTTTATTTTTGTTGCATTAAATTCACAAAAAGTCAGGTCAGATGAAAAGTTATTTAACCTACTATTTTTGGTGTTGCATTTTAGCTATTTCATTGTTATCCAAGGAATTTCCCTTGTGGTCTCTTTTATTGTGGTGGATGATGCCAATCGATTCCCAATTTATACATGGTACTTGAATCAACTCCTACTTGATATTGTATTTTACTTGGATATAAGTTGCAAAAGAAGCTCTGGGAGGATTACATAAGCGTTTTATAAGAATTAAGGAAGTTGTTTATGTTTAGAAAATTTTGTTGCGAATTTAGCGAGAGGAGTTCGAGTGGGAGAAGATATCGCATCAGGGATTAATGGATTACAGTTTCAGGATCCTGATGACGATTATGATGATGGAAAAAATCGGCAATTATTAGGGAGGGGACTGATTCATGAAACACCGGCGCATTTGATGGATAATGCAGTGACAACGTTGGCTAACGATAATGGAACTCTACGCGGCTTGAGTCCGTGTAAACGCAATATCGGGTACTCGGAAACCCGTGGCATCTCATTCATTATCCTCGTCGATTCTCCCTGAAGCACAACGCCTTTCATATGCAGGCTGAAACCCATCGCGGACGCATGTATAGAAAATACCAGGGGTTCTACTGAAGTCGTGTCGTTTTTTTTTTTTCCGGCAATTTTGCCCAGTTCATGGTTGTGATTATCTTGGTGAACTGGTCGAAAGAAAAAAAGAAAGAAAAACTTCACTAGCTACGCTGTGGTGACGACTTGTGCGTTGTTGCTTTTTTTTTTAGAAATTGACTCAAGGTTTCATTTTAGGCAATTTTCAATTATTTTTGACACGCCTGTCAAGTAGAATGTCAAATATTCTACTCCTTAGCGTTGAGGTTTTGCCGTTTTAGAACTTCGCCGAATATTATTTCTGTGATGAATTCTTGTTCGGCGGCGACTGGAAAGAAACTCGAAGCTGGCAATTTTTGAATAAATATTCATTTGAAAATATTTATATTTCTTAAATATTTTATTCTTTCTGATAAAAACTTCTTCGAAAAGTCATATGTAATTACTTGAGCACCCCGAATTCGCAAGTTCTCCCTTCTGGAATGTCAGACATTATTTAATTTTCACTGGAATTTGAGATTTCTCTGCAAAAATTGCATGTCCTTGAAAAATTTTGGCAAAATCTTCTGTCACTTTTTTTTTCTTGACACAGCAACGAAGCATCCCTCATTACCGTAGCTCAAAGAAGTTATTTTTCTTGTAACAAATTTGCTCATTCGAAAATACTGTATATAATCAAGTGGAATAAAATTACATTACAGTACTGTACATCTTAATGTTGGAATTTAAGTAATCTTTCGTTCATTGGAATAATGTATTTCTTTTCTTCTATTTTTCCTGGGAGCAAACGAACTAGCCGCACATCTGAATGTTTTTCTTCTTCTGATAAATGAAGCATTTAAATTTCAAATGAAAAACTCATTTGCAACATTCTGCATCAAGTATGAACGGTATTGGAATCCCAGGATGTAAACCATCTTTTTCGATTTAAACTTTTGCAAAAATAATATATTTCATCCCGGTCAAAATACTGTTTTTCAAGTTCAAAAAAAATGAAATTGAAGTTTTTTTGTTCGCTCTGCAAAAAATAAAGGCAGAAAAATTTTGACATTAAGGGTTGTAGAAATTATTCATTTTCACGTTGAAAATTTCCGACCTTTTAGAAATGACGCGCTGGTCCCAGTGTAGCTTTTGATTTACGTTTATTTACAATTTTTAGCACAGAATCGAAAATAGGCTTCTGCATTTATAAGTAAATTGCCAATATTTTTGTCGATATAACACTGCACCTGAACCGTTTTTTGAATACTTTTTTTTTCTCCGCCGCGGCTGACAAGGTTAACCTAACTGACTCATCTTTATGCAAACACTCAGCTGAAGTAACGTCGAAGTCATGCATAAATCTCACTTAATACCCGGACCATAAACAAATGAACATCTGGCAATTCCCCAAATGATGAGCAACCCCGAACTTGTACCGCTCATAATTCTGGGAATTCGCGAAGGAAAAAAAAAACTAGAGGACTTTACTACTGCCCCGAGTATATTTCTCAGCTATCTGGAGTTTGCATCGACGCGATGGGGGAGATCATTAAGCGTGGAGCGTTTTGTTCGGAGCCCTGAGCCGCGATTATCATTAGAATCGAGAGTGTTGTGAACTGAAGGCGGCCTTCGGGCACGAAAAAGAAAGAAAAAAAAAGGCCCCGGAGGCTATTTCTTGTCTCTGAGGTGACGTTCTACATATATACTCTGGGAGTTCGGGTGGTTGCATTTCTTGAAACGTGGTTCATGCGCCCATTTTTCATTGCCTTTTCGTTGTCTTTCCCCGCCGTCCAGTCGTCTGTTTGGTTCGTGCTCTTCGAGAAGAGTTTGAGAAATTTCATGGTCAATGTTCGAACATATTTTCGGACTGCTGATTGGAGAAAGCGGGGTTTGAGCCTAGTTTATGGTCAGCCCTAAATCCATCGCTGAAATACAGCCCATAATACAAAATAAAAAAGTTTAGATCAAGCCACGGAGCATGAAAATCTTGCCGATTTTTGTATTGATGAAGCTGTCTCCTCAGGGTATGAGACCCACTCTAGAGATTAACAGTATTTTTGAATAAATGCATTATTTTAAAGCGAGTGAATTATTGAACAGTCCTTTTTAAACGTCTCGTTAGATTACCGTATATGAGTTAGAATAGGTCTCCATATTGTCCAATCAACTAAACCTTATCTCGGAGCCGGCTGAACACCTTGTGCTTACTTAATTTGGGATCAATAATTGCCTGATGCTGCAATTTGTATCACTGAAATGTTGCTTTTGGGAAGAAAGTGTATGTACTGTATTTACATCTGTTGTGCAATTGTGCATCTTGGGATGCTTATTTCTCCATTTTCCATTCTGATGTGAATGTGTTTGAATGAATTTGGGTCGGGAGAGGAGGGGGTTTGGATGCAGGAACATTGCTTGAAACTTGTGACAACTGAAAAGCGGAAAATAGAGCTTGCTGTTCAATTCAATTCAATTGAATAGGTTCTGTAGTATTTTTTCTGGTAGGCAATAATAGATAATACCTTTGAATCTCATCAAGTTGAACTTCACCAAATCAAATATTTCCCTAATTCGCATTTTCAGTTTGTCTCTGACCAATTCCTCAGGAGTCAATGCAATTTAAGCATCCATAATTCAAAATGTTAGGGTCAAACCTGGCTTATAGTCAAAATTGAGCTATCAAGTATTGTCTTTGCTGAAGTTTTGAAAACCTATTCCAGAGAACAGAAAGAAATATATCAAATATGCTGTCAACAAGAGATTAAGCATCTTCCTGTTGGTCGAACATGTTTGAATAAATAAATAGATCGAATAAT